ACAGCCTTGAAGTGCAGCATTATCCTGGGTAGTGCATTGAAAACGTCCCAAACATAAAAATGTTTTTTCTTATCCTGCTTGCAGCCCCAGATCACACGCAGGGAAGCTTGAAGGTTTTGTAGTCATTGCTGTGAGTTCAGGACATCATCTATAGCCTTGACGGTCAGACTGTGAGGCCAGACCATCTTTTATAGCCCTAACAATCTCTGAAACTTTTCCCATGTAAAGCTGTTTCTCTCTGGACTTGGTTGATAAGTTAATTGTTACATTTGTCCACCATATGAATTTTACGACTTAAACATAAACAGTTAGGTAGCTGAGCCTTGAATTTTGAATCATAAACTGAGGTTATACATTACTGTAGTGTTAATTGTTAGGGAATTTAGTCGGGCTTCTAAGTGTCTTACAATCCTCATGGAACAAAAGATCTAGTTATGAAGCATATCCTAGTATATTTCTGTTCATCAGTCTTATATTGTTTGATAAGAAGATGTTTGTGTGTATGTGTGTGCATAAGGTTGAGATGTAGTTATGAGATTACATGTACAAATTACATGCAAATTCATAGATGTAGGCAGATTTCACAGATGTTTTTGCACAAGTGGATCTACAGATAGAAGCAGCCAATTTTCCAGAGACTGTGCTCTTAAAATGCTTTCTTGTTTGGGCTTTTCTCTCTTGGGGAATAATTTATCTGGTGAAATGATGACTGAATCACCAATTGGCATCTGCTGGATTTGCATTATGGCCCGTAGCAGCCCATGAGAACAAAACCCCACTATGTTTGTGTTTTGCTCCCTGTGACTTGTTCTTACTCTATTTCTCTACAGGGTGCGGCTGCTTCTGGCCTCTATTTATCTGTTTCAAATACAAATACAACCAGATACTCCAGTTGAAGCTCAGTCAAAGAACTTTCTTAGTCTCTTCTACTTCACATTCTCTTTTGTATTGAAGAAAAGGTAGGTAGGGTGTATATGAGAGAAAAATAATATCCATATAGAGGTAAGCCATGGGTGCTATTTCGGAGTAATTGCTCATCTTGTTTGTTGAGACAGTGTCAGAGATGCTAGAACCTGAGTCTTGACTATTAAGCTTATATGGATAACCAGTAAGTCTACAGGATCCTCCTGTCTCTGCCTTCTAATAACTGATTTAAGAAGTCTATGCCATGATGCATAGACTTTGATTGAATTCTCTCCACTCCCTCCTAACAAGCTCATGCTTCCCATTATATGAATCAGCATGAACTGTTGAGAATCAATGTTCTTTTGTTTCTAGTCTAAATTATAATGAAAGTGTGAGCAAAAGCATATCAACCAGAAGACTTTATTATTGAGAAAATGAAGAGGATAAATTACTGTGAATTATCATAAGATAATAATTTCTTGGTGTTACATTTAAACAAAAAATAACTAAAATTTAAATACATATGGGGACAAGGAATAAGAACAGTATTACAGAAAATAAGGAAGTGCAGATACATGTGTGCAGTGCCTCCAGAATCTGTGCAATAGAATCTGTGTGTTTCCTGAATCTTGAAGGATTTGGAAGATATGAGAAGTTGGAAAGGACACAGGGTCCTCAATGGGGAAAGAAATGCATGATGGCCTGGAGCGGATTTCTGAAGACAGCACATCAAGAGCCAGATAATCTGATGTCTTTAGGGAGGAATGAAGCAGAGCTGGTAAGGGGGTGGCAAACAGGAAAATCCAGTGGTCAATGGGATCATATTGATGTCCTTTGGGTAAACAAGGGATTTCATCATAAAGTTCTGTAAAACAATGGTCAGGTGGTGCGGGAGAATTGTCTGTATTCTGTCAATCATGTATTTTAATAAAACGCTGATTGGCCAGGCAGGAAGTATACGTGGGTCAACCAGACAGGAAGTAGAGGCAGGGCGATGAGAACAGGAATATTCTGGGAAGCAGGAAGCTCCCTCTGTCATTCCTGCCCAGACCACCGAAGAGGTAGCATGTAACCTGCCCAGCTGGGAAAGGTACTGAGCCGTGTGGCTAACGTAGATAGGGATAATGGGGTACCAACAGTTATAAGAGCTAATAAGTAGCCTGACCTAATGGGCCAATCAGTTTATAATCTTAGGGAGTCTTGTGAGTGATTTTCTTTGGGATATGCTGGCTGTGGGGTATGGGGCAGGACAGAAACCCCAACAAGCTGGCCCTCATGCTACAGTCAGGAATAGAAACAACTCCACACAGGCCAGGCCCTCCCCTACACACATCTGTTTTCCTGGCGAGATAGAGAGAAACACCAAGGAAAGTAACTATTCCTTGTACATAACAAGTTTTAGTCTGAGATGCACTGGACTGATACAGATACAAGTGAATAATAGTAACTACTGAGTTACTGGATGGGTGGTTAGATAAATGAATGAGTGAAGGGAAGCCTAGTTAAACAAACAGAAAGGGGGCATTTTCCAGTTAACATGTGGTCTTAAGGAATATGTCATTCAAAAAAAACTTCTCAGCAAGATGTATTTTCTCCCACTTGTATTTAAAATACCAGAGAGTATGTGGAGTATGAATTATGACTTTAATAAAGATTACAAAATCAAGAAATGGAATTCAGTATGCAGATAGCACACATACTGTACATATGGGCTCAATATCTATTGTTGATACCCTGAATCCAGGGAAGAGGGGGACTGTGAGAACTGATGGACACCATAGTATATCTACAATGTCTCTATCATCCTAGAATGATCCTGAAATGGAAGATTCTGAACTTAGAAAGATCCTGTTCCAGTGGTTCATGATCGTCTCTAAAATGAGCTGAATTTTCTTTTCAAAATGCTCTATGACCCTTTGAGGCAGCAAAAAAAAGAGTCTTTTATGAGAATATTGCTATATTTGTGCTCAAAATGTGACATATGAAAGAGTAAGGTATGAATTTCTTCCCACCAACCCTCTGGCCACATTGCATTGAACCAACTGCATTAACAGGAATTATTCACTCGTCTGTTTCCCAAGAGTCCTTCAGGTCCTTTGGTGTTTTCCTGTGTTTTTGGATACATGGATACATAGTTCAGCGTGAAGGTGAACAACACAGCAAAAAGACATGAATGCAAATAATGAAGAAATTTCCATTTTCATGGTATGTGAGTAAGTGTAGATGAACTTTGCTCTTTAGGATGGAATCTTTGGTATTTCTGTGATGTATCTAAAGAAAGAAAATAAATTAATAAATGTCCTACACTCTAGCTTTCTAAATTTTGAATAATGATAGGACAATTAAATGCCTCACTTTCATGGCCAGACCAGGAGGATGCTCCTTATCATGGACAGTTCATGGGCACTGGAAATCATGCTCCTGTTCATACATAAACTGCAAATCTACCAACCCATGTGCAGTCACTGTATAAGTCTCACAGATCCTTGGGCACTGTAACCATAATAACAAGTTTCTATTCCCTGTTGAGAAAGATGTAGGAAGAGGCCATTAGTTTGTTCCCAGCTTATTATCACTGAAATTATCACACAGAAACTGTATTAATTAAAGCACTTCTTGGCCCATTAGCTCTAGCTTCTTGTTGGCTAGTTCTTACATATTAATTTAACCCATCTCCATTAATATGTGCATCACCATGAGGTTGTGGCCAACCAGAAAAGTTTCAGAGCATCTGTCTCCGGCAGTGGCTCCATGGCTTCTTTCTAACTCTGCCTCCTTTCTCACAGCATTAGTTTAGTTTTTCCCACCTAGCTCTATTCGCCTATAGCTCTGCTATAGGCCCAAAGCAGTTTCTTTATTCATTAATGGTAATCACAGCATACAAAAGAAAGTCCCACAACACTTCCCTTTTTCTGTTTAAATAAAAAAGGAACTCTTTAACTTATCATAGTAAAATTACATACAACAAAACAGGTATCAAGCAAGAATTACAGTTTTAATATTCATAACCACTTTATCTTTTATCTTAACTAAGGAAAACTATAAATAAAAATTCTTCAAATTCATCAAAGAAAGCTGCCTTTTCAGAAGAACAATGGGAAGTGAGAGAAAAGTGAAGAAAGTGAGGATCAGTTTCCCTTGGCAGAAAGAGAAAGACTGGGAGTGGGCAGAACTTTTCCCTTAAATGGTACTGCCCAGGAAGGCCAGCAAAATTATAACATTCCCATCTTCCTCTTATCATAAAAATGTGAACTGTTAGGTGTGACAGGTTAAGGGAATAAGGACATCGAGTTATCAACTCTGCTTCCTGCTGATTTGTGGGCACTGGAATCTTAGGCGACCAGAGAAAGCTAGGATGCTGACCATTCCAGGGGTAACTGATAGCTTCACTGTTATCCAGGCTTTGTGGAATTGTCCAGTGTCTCTTGGTCCTGACGAGGTGTTGGCAGAGCAGAGGACAAGGTTAAGTTTAGGAAGAAAAAAAATGTAAGTCCTGGTGATTAAGGAGGATGTCAGGACCAGGGAAAGGTGGAAAGGCTTGGATTCTTAGGGTTTGGTATTGAGGGAGGGGTCATCTGACCTGCTTAAGGTAAACCCTTCAAGTTGGCTCCATGGGACTTACAAAAGTTCTTTGAGTTTGTGAAAACATAAGATTTAAACATATACATTGTATAAACAACAGTATATTTATGCCAGAAATGACTGTGACAGATGTTTGTGCACAATGAAAATTATCTTTTAGGTAGAAAATGACCAAAGAGAATTTAAAATCTTGATATTGCAGTATAGTTAGTGGTAGATTCCAGCATACCTAGATTAATAACTTATCAGAATTTTATTGATTAGTGTTAAGACTGTCAATGACAGCATAAAGAGAGAGAAATTTGATAGCTTGCATTTGTACACCTTAAATCATTTTCTTATACTCTGAAACATTTTTATCCTCAGACTTTTATAACTTGCAAGTACACTCCTTACTAACTTGCATGTGTATACCTTAAAACACCTTCTTGGTTTGAGCTTTGTATGTTAAGACACCTTTTATTTAGACATAGTAATGAAGTTATGCTGAAATGTGTTTTGTGAAGTTGTCCTTTTTAAACTGGTAAAACCGCTCATCCATCAAATTGGATTAGAGTTTTACCTGAGTTATTGATTTAAAAAATGATAGAAAACTTACTCTGTTGATGACATAGACAGCCATTCCCCAGCATTCTCTATGGTCATTGAGGGCAGTGTCTTAAGGGTAGCATTTGCCTTCTGCTGTTAGCATGGGGTCTGCCAGGCTTTAGAAGATCTTACAGTTAGGAATCTGTAGAGAGACAAGACTATCCAGGTCTGGGCAGTCAGGCAGTCATTTCAGTTTTCCTTTGTTCACTGTCTGGAGATCTTTAGCAGTTTAGATGAAAGACAGTTTTTTCCAGTGATTAATGCTTTCTTTTGAAGAGAATGGTGGATGGATGTTGTTCTGGCCCATCAGTCTTCTATTTTCTTTGTAGGAAATGGGTGGTACTCCTAGGAGCAACCTGTCTCTCTGTTATGAAAAGTCTTTTAATAATTAAACATTTAAATGTCACATTCCCCAGATCTCCTAGCATTTAAAGGCTATCTATTGAGTATACGTAAGTTATCACTATAATGTAGGATCTGCCAGGAGAGCTGGGTCCAAGCTGAGAGGTGTGGAGTAGTATTTTATCCAGAGTCCTCCAGCATGACTGTGCTGGATTTTAACTTAATAGGTGAGATTTATACTTGTGAAGGACAAAGAAGCAAAATTGTTTGCTATAGATGCTTAACAGTAAAACTGACAATAGTGAAGAACAGCTTACAGGAAAGGTGGTAGGTTAGCTTTTCTTAATCTGAAATAGATCTTTATAATCTGAAATTTTATCACTATAAAGAATATATTTTAGAGCAAAGTTGAATTACATATATAATATAACAGCTTTAACCATATATTTATCATCATTTAAAAGTACATACCAATTAAAAATATTGCAGACTGATTGATTTTTTTGTAGAAGGAGGTGCAATGAACAGAGCTTATTAAGACTACTTAAAATGTTTTTTAAACAATAGGTACCTGTACATAAACATGCCATTGAATTTATGTTGCACATAAAGTTAAATGAAAAGTGAGTGAGAAGAAGCTGGCTATTTTATCTCTGACTCACAGTTTGTAATAAAACAGACATGTGCAGGTCTTTGGAGCAAAGAAAAAAGTAGAGAATCAAAGTTGCAGATTTTTAACAGGTAGAAGAGAACAGATCAGCTGCAGGTGAAGCAGGCAGGATGCTGGGGTCCAAACAAGCCAGGAGACCTGGCAGTCAGCAGTCACATGGTTGCCCAAAGCAAAGATGATGGTTGCTTGTGTGTTGCAAGGACGCCTGCCGACATGTTGAAAGGCACGGAGAAATCACATGCTTTTTAGAGAAGCCGCTGGAATTTTAAAGAGATACAAATAATAAGAAAGACATATAGGACATGTAAAACATATATTTAAATAAGTATCACATCCATATAGCTACACCATTCACACATTCTTCCATACATGAAATGGACAGGAAAATTCTTCAGCACTTTTTGCCCACAGAAGTCAGGCAGCAAGAGGGTACTGGTAACTGCAGGGTGGTTGAGGCAGGGCTCCATGAATGAATAGACAGGGAGAAGAGAGACAGGTTCTGTCACTGACAGTCTCAGCCAAGTTAGGAAGTGGCCTGTTGAGCCAGAGTTTAGCATGGCTGGATATAGTAGGACTCTTCCATCTGCCTGATTATTTTGGCAAAAATTAGAAAGCTCCCATGTTGGGATTTGCCATAATGCAGCCAGTTTGGATCAAGCCCTGTTTCCCATAGCTGAGGAAGAGAGGGAAAGAAAAAATAAACAAGACCTAAACTATCTCAAGTGTCTTTAAGACAGAGCGAGGGTCAAGTCAAGTGGTACAAACCAATACAAGGACCATCAGCAAAGGGATTGGGGGCCAGGATTGAAGGAACAACAGTCCAAGATGAGAATCGAGATATCAGTCCTGAGTTACAGGAAATTATCAAAGATGAATGTCAACAAAGGGACCAACCGTAGCCATGAAGGCTATGGCTGAGGGTGTTTGCCCTGTTTCAAATAACACCAGAGGGGTCCCAGACTCCTATGGATTCAGAGAACTGGTTAAGCTGACCAGATGAGGGGACTCACCAATTGATTCTGGTGGCATGTGCAGAATTCAGTAGTCAGCAGTCTGTGGAGGGACCCAGTCAAGAGTCCCAAAAATGAGAGGGGTGCCAGGAGAGCCTGTTGATTTCACAGCACCAGTGAAAAATTTCCAGACTGCGCGGGACCTGGGTGGGTCCCCTGGTGGGTGAGGGATCATGGTGGGTAAGGGACAGACTGATACACCATGCAGAGGGAGCTCAAGTATGGAGAGTTTATTTAGTGGGTATTGGGAGGGTATAAGAGGGTAAGGGAGGCATGGGGGAAGAGAGAGAAAGACAGCTAGAGGAACAGAGAGAGGGGGTTAAGAGGGGAGAGAAAAAATGGACGGGGAAGAGAGCCAGAAAACTGCCTCTTCAGAAGAATGATTAGGAGAGAGAAAGAAAAGGGAAGAGAGTAAAGATCAGCTTGCCTTGGAAGCAAGGGAGAGATTGGGAGTGGGCTGAGTTTCTCTATTAAGGAGACAGGGTACTGACAGAGAAGGCCACCAAAATTGTAACAGTGGTGATATTGTCAAAGTGTTTCAGTAAAATTTGAAATCCATATTTGAGTGTTGAATTCAAGATCATATTAAAACCATCATTAATTTCAACCAGGCTAGTTTTATTCCAGAGAAGTAGGTATGGTTCTGTTGACAGATATTTCTGTTCCACCCTGTCCCAAAGTCATTCAGTCTCAAAGAAACACACAGGTCTACATTAATTGGCCTATTAGCTCAGACTAATCTTATTAACTCTTACATCTTTAATTAACGCATAAATCCTGTCTGTGTTAGCCACACAGCTTGGTACCTTTTATCAGTGAGACATTCTCTTCCTGCATCCTCTGTGTCTGGATTATGACTGGAGACTGACTCCTTTCTCTGCCCAGAATTCTCCTGTTCTGGTTGCCCTGACTGTCTTTTGACCAATCAGCATTTTAATACCAAGTACAACAGACAGATCTCTACAGAAAGCAAGGCCATTATCCTAAAGCACTTCCCCATTTTTTTTCAAGACAAGAACTATGAATCTAATTTCTTTTGTTTAGCTTTTTTCTTGACCATTATCCATAACAACTTGTAACCAACACTCTAAACAAATACAAACATCCATAATTCATATTTTTGGGAATGTGGACATAGTATTCCAGGATACTTTCTGCAGATTGGGGGTGCTGATAAACTTATGGGGGCTTAAAGAAAATTTAAGATTATACTAAGACCTGACTGGAATATTCTGTGAGGCTTCATCATCTCAGCAAACAGTTTTGAGGCTGTTCTGGATGTAGAACTCAGAGAAAACTCCAACAGAGGTCCTCTGAAATGTTGGATCATCTGCTCCTATCAAAGATTTTCCAGGGGGTCTTTCTTGGTCAAACTTGATTTTTCTTAAACCAGATGAATCTACTGCCTCTTATTTCCTGTGAAAAAAAAGCAAAACCTCTTCTTCAAAGTAACATATCTTTTGACTTAAATTTCGAAGTCAAGGTATTTTCAAAATAAATTTGTTGGATTAATCCAGCAACACTTATAATCAAATGTTTTTTAGCAGCTGCTGTTCCTTCCTCAGCCATCAAACAACTCAAGGACAACACAATAACTTACAGTACTTAGATTCTCTGTATATTTTTCATATTTACATGGCTTTATTTTAAACTTTATTTCTTTTATTTTTACTTTTAAAAGTAAAAGTAAAGTGGAGGTACTGTCCAGATCCATGTTTAGTGTCACAGCTCTATGGAGTTTCAAGGTTTCTGCCACCACCAAGAAGCATGCTGTCAGCTTGCTGTATATGAACACCATATAAGTATTTGTGGCAGGGCTTCTTAAAAGAGGTGCAATGTTTTGCAGCTAAAACTGAGTCAGAAAGCCTCTCTTAAATGAGACATTCTTGTCTCTAGCAAACAGCCCACCTGAAAAAAAGTGCTACAAAGAAGCCTGCAAATAAGAAGCTAGAGTTAATAGACCAAACTGTGATTTAATTAATTCAGTCTCTGTGTGATTATTTTGTGGTCTGAGCAGCTGGAACCAAACAAGCGGCCTCCTACAACAAATTGGCATGCCAACATGGTTCACTATATCCATATAAACCCTGAGAAAGCTTAAAAAGTAATTCTACAACATAAGAACAGAGTTAAGCATGGCTTAGTGCCATGGCTCCTTTAAGAGAGGTCTTCCTGATTCTATGGTAGCAGAAAGAAAAAACCACATGGTTTCAAAATGGTGGCTTCCTGGTTCGCCAGCACAAACTCTGACTCCTTTGGGAGGTCTGGCCAAAGAGCATTAAATGGGGTTTGTAAGGTCTATGGCTCGACATAGACCTACTGCATATTTAAAACTGGGGTGGTGTGCACAGCTTACAGACGCAGTGAACATGCCTCTGCCATGTTCAACTGGGCAAAGCCAAAAGGCAAAGTCGAAAGGCGAAGTCTTGGTCCTATTCGTGCCTCTGCTTAGCAGTTTAAGAAATGTTCCTGAACAGAAAAGGATTTCAGATACACTCTAGGACAGACTAAGACCTATAAATGAGACACAATGTGTTTTTATAAAATGTATGTAGGCTTAGGAGAGAGAAGAAAAAGAGTAAAGAGACAGTAACTGTAATATAAGATTACAGACAAACATAAATTAAAGGAATAAAGATAATAAAATCAATACTAAACTTGTAGGGAAAATAATAGAGTAAGAAAAATAAGACATGTAAAGATGGTATATACACAGAGAGTCTGGATTATGTATATTATTGTATTTTCTTTGAATTTTTTGACTGTGAAGGAATTAAGTACAGAGAGACATTTCATTGTATGGGCTGCTAAGCTAAATCAACCTATATATTTTAAAGATATCTTGATTTCAGAATTTGGGTCTAAGGATTTATTGCTTTGAAAAAGAGGTTTGTTTTCACAGAAGATGAGAACCTATGGATTTCTTCCAGACTAATGTGGTCTGATGGACTAAGACCATCTGAAAGGTCTCCACAAACGCTCCCAAAAATTACTTCACCTAACAAAAAGCAGGAAGCAGTTTGGAGACAACTTCACACAAATTCCCAAATATTATTTATAAATGTTGGTTTACATTTAAAGGGGATAAGCTATAGAGATTTGCATTGGTGTGGATCTTGTTTTTTGATAAAAATTTAAGGTCAATTTTGTTATATGAATATTTCTACTCTTGATTAAGGTGTTGTGTTTGTACAGCTCATTTAAAATTATAATGTAGAGTGTTTGCCAGCCAGGAAGGTTGGAAGGTCCCCGCAAGGGAGTGCAGGGAACCTACAGCTTCTGCTGCAGGGTCTTCTGTTTTCCACTGAGGAGTTCCGTTCAGAAGGGTGAGTGTGTGCCATCTTTACCCCCAAAGGTGCTCTTCCATACTACAAAAAGGAAAAGAAAAAGGAAAGAAAACTAAACAAACACGGGATTTAATAGTGTCTGGGCTCTCAGAGAAATATTCCAAATAAGAAAGAGAGGAACTACACTCACTTGTATAGGATTCCTTTAAAGTAATATTCATATCACCCAAAATGTAACAAAGCATAAAGCATTCACAAAGGAAATGGTTTGATTAATAGAAGCCTGTTCTATCGTCATATTGCTTAAAGCAGTTCCAGCTGTATATTTGAGGAATAGAAAGATAAATACAAAGAACGAGCTTGGCTCACTGATCAATACAATGGGGTTCCTTACCAGCCTTCACACAGTGGTTTTTACTTAATTGGAACTCATCAGGAGGCTCAAGAGAATGACAGGTGTCATTCTCAGGCTCATCACAGGATCCTTTCTTTCTCATAATTTTCCACAGCCCGAACATATCGCTCTGGTACCCAAATGGGCTTGTCCACTCCTGGACGAAAAACACAAACAGCTCCTCTCACCCTAGCCTACAGGCTAGTTATCCATAGCTTTCATCACCGAAGTGGCTTTCCAGGGGGACACCTTTGTAAGTTGTGTTGTTAAGACTGCCCCCATCTCTGCTAAGAGGTCACATCCTCATAGATTTACAGGCAGGCCAGGAAGAACATATGACTGGAAAAAACCCTCATGTCCTTCTTCATCGTGCCTTTTCAATATTTTTGAACTTTTTTGAGGAGTTGTTTGACCTATTCCCTGCAGCTGTACAGTACCTTCTTCCAAGGGTCATGCCTTTGGCCAATATTTTAAGGACAAAACTGATACATCTGCCCCAGAATCTAATATATCATCAAAGCCCTTTCCCTCTATAGTTATTCTAAGTTGGGGTCATTCATTTAACTGTACAACCCAGAAAGTAGCCATTCCAGGGGATCCAAACCCTTGATTGCCATGGACTCGTTTATTATTGGTAACCTTGCTGGGAATCAACACTAATTCTGCTATCCGCTCACCTTGAGGAATTACCACCACCCCCTTTTGGACAGATGTCATAACCTTAATCTCCTCTTTATAGTCTGCATCTACTATCCCAGGATGTATTTGGATCACCTTTAAAAGGGTACTGCTTCTACCTAATATAAATCCCATGGTACCCGGTGGTAAGGGCCCATATACTCCTGTAGGGAGTGCTTGCACTGCCATTTGTGGAGTTAAGACTATTCTGGCAGAGGCACAGAGGTCCAACCCTGCATTCCCTGTTGTGGCTCTGACAAGGTCTGCAATGTGAAAGGATTGCTCTGCGGAAGGAACTGAGCACAGCCTCTGCTGGGGTACCGTCCCTGAGGTCCCACAGTCATTGCTTTGTACATTGAGGTTTTGGGGCCCTAGAGCAGGGCCCTCTGCCAGTTTGCTTGCTGTTGATTATTGGTACATGGCAGAGATTTCCCACCTAACATGGCAGAGGTTTTCCATCTATATCTGTTTTAGAGGAGCAATCTTTAGCCCAATGTGCTCCCCTTCTGCATCTAGGGCACATGCCAGGTTTTCTTCTTCCCTTCATTATCAGCTGTGGGCATTCCTTTCGAAAATGACCAGGCGTTCCGCAGTTAAGACAATTACGGCCTCCGGCGCTCTATCCCAGTCCTCTTATGTTTCTCGGAGGTTGAATAGTTGCCACTATAACCTGGTCTTGAATGAAATTCCCTTCTATATCTCTGCATATACTGATATATTCATTTAAACTCTTTGTTTTGTGAGGGCATAATGCTTCTTTACAATATCTATTGGCATTTTCAAATACAAGTTGCTTTATTATAGGCATGGTTGTGGTCTCATCTCCAAACAATCTACCTGCTAATTGTAACATTCTATCTACATAATCTTGGAATGGTTCAGATGGTCCTTGTGAAACTTTTGATCATTGATCCCCAGCTGCTTTGATAGGTAGGGTCTTCCAAGCTTTAGTGGCAGCTGCAGCTATTTGGGTGAATACTACTAGATTATACAGAATTTGTTTCTGCAAATCAGCATAAGTTCCAGCCCCAGTTAACATATCTAAATTACGTTAAACTTGAACCACTAGAGCATTTAACTGGGCTGTTTGTTTATAATTTTCCTGATATTCCCCTGACCATAGGAGATAATCTCCCCCAGATAAGACAGCATGACATAATTGCTGCCATTCACTTGGTGTTAAATTCAGAGCAGAGAAAGATTCTACCATGGCCAATGTGAAGGGTGCTTGAGCACCATATGCAGCAACAGCTTCCTTTAATTGCTTCATTTCTTTAAATTATATTACAAAATATTGGCGAATTATTTGCCCTGGGTTGTTGGGGTCTGGCACCTCCATTACCAGTGCAAACATGTGTGCAGGACAGAAACAAACTCCCTTGTTTCGTTCAGTGTTAGAGCCCTTACTTAACTGAGACCACCAACCATCATCATTATAAATGGGTGGCATAAAAACAGAGATGTTGACCAATGGAATCTAATTGAAGACCCGGATATTAACCCACAAACCTATGAACACCTGATTTTCGACAAAGGAGCTAAAATTATACAATGGAAGAAGGAAAGCATCTTTAACAAATGGTGCTGGCGTAACTGGATTTCAACATATAGAAGAATGAAAATAGATCCATATCTATCATCATGCACAAAATTCAAGTCCAAATGGATTAAAGACCTCAATATTAATCTGACCCCACTGAACCTATTAGAAGAGAAAGTGGGAAGTAGTCTAAAACACATGGGCACAGGAGACCACTTCCTAGGTAGAACCCCAAAAGCAAAGACAATAAGAGCAACAATGAATAAGTGGGACCTCCTGAAACTGAGAAGCTTCAGTAAAGCAAAGGACACCGTCAGTAAGACAAAACGGCAAACTACTGATTGAGAGAAGATCTTCACCAAACCCACATCAGATAAAGGTCTGATCTCCAAAATATATAAAGAACTTAAGAAACTAGACATTAAAACTCTAATTAACCCAATTAAAAAATGGGGTATTGCCAAAAATTCTACCAAAGAACTCCTACAGCTGATAAACACCTTTAGTAACGTGGCAGGATACAAGATCACCTCCAAAAAATCAGTGGCCCTCCTATACACAAAGGATAAAGAAGCAGAGAGGGAAATCAGAGAAACATCACCTTTCACGATAGCCAAAAATAGCATAAAATATCTTGGGGTTACTCTAACCAAAGAAGTGAAAGACCTATTTGACAAGAACTTTAAGTCTTTGAAGAAAGAAACTGAGAAGGATACCAGAAAATGGAAAGACCTCCCCTGCTCTTGGATTGGGAGAATCAACATAGTAAAAATGGCAATTCTACCAAAAGCAATCTATAGATTCAATGCAATCCCCATCAAAATCCCATCAAGCTTCTTCACAGACCTTGAGAGAACAATAATCAAGTTTATATGGCAAAACAAAAAGCCCAGGATAGCCAAAACAATCTTATACAATAAAGGAACCTCAGGAGGCATTACCATCCCTGACTTCAAACTCTATTACAGAGCTACAATTTTGAAAACAGCTTGGTATAGGTATAAGAACAGAGAAATCGACCTTTGGAATCGAATAGAAGACCCGGATATTATCCCACAAACCTATGAGCACCTAATTTTTGACAAGGGAGCTAAAGGTATACAATGGAAGAAGGAAAGCATTTTTAACAAATGGTGCTGGCATAACTGGATGTCAACCTGCAGAAGGATGAAAGTAGATCCATATCTATCACCATGCACAAAACTCAGGTCCAAATGGATTAAAGACCTCAACATTAATCCATCCACTTTGAACCTGATAGAAGAGAAAGTGGGAAGTAATCTACAAGATATAGGCACAGGAGGCCTCTTCCTAAGTAGGACCCCAGTAGCACAGACAATAAGAGAAACAATGAATAAATGGGATCTACTGAAACTGAGAAACTTCTGTAAAGCAAAGGACACTGTCAGTAAGACAAAAAGGCTGTCTTCTGACTGGGAGGAGATCTTCACCAACCCCTCATCAGACAAAGGTCTGATCTCCAAAATATACAAAGAACTCAAGAAACTAGACACTAAAACTCTAATTAACCCAATTAAAAAATGGGGTACTGAACTTAACAGAGAATTCACAACAGATGAACTTCGAATGGCCAGAAGACACTTAAGGTCATGCTCAACCTCTTTAGCGATCAGGGAAATGCAAATCAAAACGACTTTGAGATATCATCTTTCACCTGTCAGAATAGCTAAAGTCAAAAACACCATGATAGCCTATGCTGGAGAGGATGTGGAGAGAGGGGAATTCTCATCCATTGTTGGTGGGAATGCAAACTTGTTCAGCCACTGTGGAAATCAGTGTGGCGGTTTCTCAGGAAACTGGGAGTCAACCTCCCTCAGGACCCAGCAATTCCACTCTTGGGAATATACCCTAGAGATTCCCTAACATACTACAAAAGCATTTGTTCTACTATGTTCATAGCAGCACTATTTGTAATAGCCAGAACCTGGAAACAGCCTAGGTGCCCCTCAATAGAAGAATGGTTAAAAAAGGTGTGGAACATATACACATTAGAGTTTTACTCAGCGGTAAAAAACAATGACATCTTGAATCTTGCATGCAAATGGATGGAAATAGAAAATGCTTTACTGAGTGAGGTAAGCCAGACCCAAAAAGAGGAACACGGTATGTATTCACTCATAAGTGGATTCTAACCATAACTAAAGGTCTTTGAGCCTATTATTCGTTATCCTAGAGAAGCTAAATAAGAAGATGAACCTGATGAAGATTATTTAGCTATCTGCCGGGAGGCAGGAAATATTCAAGAGTCCCAGGTAACCTCGGGTGCATGGGGGAGGGGGGGTGGGAGGGTTGTTGAAAGGGGAGAGGGTTAGAGAGAAGGGAATAGGGGAGGAATGGGGAAAGCTCGGTTGACCAGGATGGGGGGGATGGAGGAAGGATGAATATGGGATCAGGGAAGAATATATTTCAACTAAGGGAGTCATTTTAGGGTTTACAGGAGACTTGATT